AATAGAAAGGACTGAAGCAGTTATTTTGTCCAACCTTTTCATATATCTAAGACATAGAGAAATGAAGTGACTGCCCAGAGTTCCAGAGAAAACACCCCACAAAGCCAGAGGGAGAATCCTCTTCCTCTTCTTCCAGACCGAGTGCCATTTCCACTCTACTAAGCAGATATGAAAGTTTATTTTCTTGCCTGGGCCCTCAGATCCCATCCCATCATCTGTCTACTTATTAGTGAGTGAGCACAACCATGATGGCTTCATTCCTATAGGAGTTCCCAGGAGCCTTTGACTGTGTCCTAGAGGGCTTCAATCGCTCACAAAGGTGAGTCAAAGAGAAAAGATTCAGTGGTTTGAGTTTTCACCAAGATCTGTGGTCAGAGCCGGATGGGCCAGTCATTGTCAGTCCATCATCCCGTGTGCCTTGGCTAAGTCTTTCATGCCCATGGAAAGGGATCAAGAGAAAAGGAGTCTGGACTGCATTTTAGCAAAGACACAGTCCTAGGAAGAACACCCAAATCCCCCATCTCATTAACACTTATTCTCTAGGTTAGGCTGCATGGCAACAGATCAAGCAGCCTCCCAATCTCTGTAGAATTCCAATCATTCATAGTTGGGATGTGTCAGTATGCTGAACAGTATGGTGATGAGAGTGTTGGGGGAGAGACAGAGAGAGATGGACAGACAGAAACAGAATGAGAAGGGGGGGGGAGTGTGAACAACAAAAGTGCTTGTACTGGTATCCACGTCACATAGGGCCGCTATGGAAGGTAAAGTCGGGAGATCACAGATCTACTGAACAATCTTCTCTCACAGTTCTAACTGCACGAGAGACATGGATTGTTAGTTCTGAGAGTCAGCACAGGGGATAGCCAGGCCTAGGTTCAGATCCTGTTCTGCTGCTGACTCACTCCATGACTGCTTTATGAGATGGGGACGGGAAAACTGCCTGTCCTCTCCTCACCCCCCAACCATTTGCCACGTCCCGTCATTCTTCTTTCACAGCATCTCTTCCACACATCTACTCTTTACATCACAACCATCTGAGCTCAGGCCCCTCCTGGCCCTGTTTTACCTCTCATATGCACTCCTGTAAAAGCTGTCTTCTTCAACGTGTCCTCCATCTGCCACCAAAGCGATCTTTCTAAAGTGCGTGGCTGACTACCTCGTTCCCCACGCTCCAGAAACCTCGTTGGCTCCCTATCACTTCTCGGATGAAATATAAGCAGTTGGCTCTGGCTTTTCAAGTCCTCGTGGTCTGCTTCTAATCCCTGCTTCCCCATTGACTTCCTATTTCCCCGATGCGGCGTCCCCTCACGAAACCGTGTATCTTGCATTGCCTTTGTGCAGGCTGTCCTTGCTCTCCCTCGGCAACTCTGCCTCACGAACTTCCTGGCTCCCTTCACAGCTTGGGTCAAGGCCACCTCCTCCGGGGAGCTTTCCCTGATTATTGTTTTCCCACCTGGAAAACGTACTCCAGCCTTACCGTAGAGTGATTTTGTCTTTGTCAAATGACGTTAGAGACCAGCGCCCACTGATGAGGGGATTCCCTGTCGTTCCTCTTCTCAATCCCTTGGGGACACAGTGGGACCCTGTAACTGATAACCTAGCCTCTCCACTTCCTAACAGAGGGGAAAGCGTGGAATGAGAAGGAGCGTAGTCAGTGGATACCAGCCTGCAAGAGACTGTGACCTCCTCGGATCCAGGAGACAGAAGAAATGCAGCGGCCGGTTCTGTCGGCGCTGCCGAGAACTGATCTGGCCCTTCCTCACTCGGCTGTCCATTGCTGCACTCTCCCTCTCTCAGGAGGCAGCTGAGGGTAGTCCCAATCTTTCGTAAGAGCTCCTTTGAAAAAGAACCTGGTTTATTTGAGATGATGTCGATGACCGCGGCATTGCTACTGGACGCATTCGTTACTAACATGGAGCCGGGAGGAGGCAATAGGTTGCCAAACACACAGATGTCAGAGAAGGAAAGAAAGGAAATTAGAAAGGCGGAGATGGAAAGAGAGACAGAGAAACAGATCTCACAAGTGCAGCAGACACTTGCCAGTGGAATCATGTCTGGGGGCTTCAGTTGAATCAAAGAATTGTGGATTTATATTTTTGTAACTTCCTAAAGCAGAAAAGACAAATGTGGATCCAGATCTCCTCTATGCAAACAAAGCAAGCGGCTTGGCAGAGCAGGACCTAATATGGGAAGTGGTGCCCCAGTCTTTCCATGGTGGGTCTGAAAGGAAAATCTTCCTATGAGGGGCTGAGATTAGGGCATGACCAGAAAGGCGATTCCCTAAGAATGGACCACAGAGGAAGAAGATGGGGAAGAGTGCTGTCACCTACAGGAAGGCGGGCCTCCAAAAGAGGGTCAGTAACTTCATCTTCAGTCTCTAGCCCACACAACTGCTAGACATTTAGGTTTAATTTACCAGGAAAAGTATATACGGTCCACTCCTCCAGAACATAGGCTCCCTGAGGGTAGCTGGCACAGTGCGGACACTCTCAAGGTCCTTTGTGTCTGTTGATTTGACTCGGAAGGAATGGACAGGCACTGGGAGGCCCAGATGTGCTGCTGAACCTGTTGTAAACCTAGAAGGATGATGTTTCCCTCACTGTCCAGTCCCTTGAAATTCTGTGATTAGGTCGAGCTCAGCTTGGCACTTCCTGCACCTTTACTGGGAGTAAGCTTAAGCCCGGGGCTCCTTAGAACTCAGTCCCACAGGACTCCGAGTTTGTCCCTCCTGCCAGTTCGATCAGTCTGACGTGGCCAGCTTCTCACAGAGGGGGCATCTTTGGGACGGGAGCCACCGAGCAGGTCTCCGGAAGGAAGGCTGACTCGGCCAATAGGTCCTGCTCTGCAGAGCTGCCAGCATTTGGAGACTGGTCTCACCAGGGAGGGGCACCTGCGGCTTGGCCATCCAAACATCCCAGAGCTGGGCCACGGTCCCAGGTTAGTCAGGCAGGCGGCCAAGAAATCCTGAGTAATTACTACTAGGTGTCAGCACCAAAGGTGCTGCCGGCTCTCAAGGACCCTGGAGTCTAAGACCATCCACAAAAGGAGTCTGACTAGCAGAGGGGAAGAAAGGGAAGATGCCCAGCACCGAGGGCCCCAGGGGCCCGGGGACGGCGAATTCCCGAGCTGAAGAGATCTGGCCCAACAAAGAGGCTCCTGGGGCTCGGGGAAGTCCGGAGGTCCTACTAAGTGCCTGCGGCGGGGCTGACTGAGCGGGGGGAGAAGAATAGGGGGAAAGGGGCAAATCCCTGACCACGGGAGGGTGCAAGCACTGAGACTAGCATGGACGAAGCAAGCTGCAGACCGGATAGATCGGAAATAACCAAAGGAGGGAGGCGAAGGAATAAAGAGGAGCTGGGGGGGGGCTGCGGGGGGGGGGGCTCGGGGCAAAGGCTGAGACCACCCCCCACCCCGGGGCGTGGAGCCTCTAAGTCCGGTTGTGCGGGTTTGCTGGTTGTTTGAAATCAATCTTAGATCTCTCTGGGTGGAGGGGGCGCCTAGACTCGGTCTCTTCCCCTCTCGGAACCTCAGGTTCTTCTTCGGACAGATAAGGCCGTTGGATTAGATCGCCAGACAGTAGCATCCGAGCTGCAGGACTTGCCTTGCAACGCGGTTTTGTCTCCAAAGACGGAGAGCCGGAGGCCCGGGGAGGCTGGGTGACTGGCCCAGGGTCGTCCCCCGTTAAGGGGTACTCCGCCCCAAGCAGCCCCCAAAGGACGCCTTCCAAGACTGCCCAGGGCAGACCCCATTTCTGCCTGGGGAAGCCCCCGCACTCTCGGGGGCCCGGAGTGCAGTCCGTGACTGGGGGGATGGGCTGGCCCGGGCGCTCTCCGCACCCCGGGGGGAACTCAGACCACCCCTCTCCTTGGCAGCCCCAAGGCCGGTGCTGGGCAGAGGCGGGGCCAGGACCGAGCCGGGCGGGGCCCGAGGGGCGGGGCCCGAGGGGCGGGCCTCTTAACCAGGCGCGTTCCAGACCTTCCCTTGTTTGGGCGTTGCTAGGAGACAGGGCTCCGCGGCCCTGATCCGGTTGGTGCTGGGAAGGACGCGGGAAGGGGGCGGGGTTTCATAGGGAAGTGGGGAGTAGGATCGGGCCGGGAGTCGGGGGAGGGGCCGCTCGTTGGCAGGGAGGCGGGGCCGCGAGGCTGGGGGCGGGGAGAGCGCGGGAGGAGGGGCGGAGCCTGAACCAGGGGGCGGGGTCGGCGGCGCGAGGCGGAGTCGAACCTCGACCTTGTTTGGACGTCGCTAGGCGACGGGTCTAGACGTGCCCAGTCAAGAGCCGCGCTGGGGCTGACGCCGCGAAGGGGGCGGGGCTCGCGGCAGCCCCGTTAGTGCTGACAGGCGGACTGGCCTGAGGCGCCGGAGTTCTCCTACCTGCGAGTCTCGCCTTTCGGGCCGCCGCTGCCCAGGCGCTCTCCGGCAGGGCGCGGGGTTCGGGGCCGCGGGGCAGGGGCTGGGGGAGGCGCTCTGCCCTCGCGCCGGCCCCGGACATCCCGACGGCCCTGAGCACAGCGGGCCCGGGGCGGGGCGCGGCGCAGGTGAGTCTGGCGGGTTCGGGAGAGGTGGGGA